AGAAACAAAATACTTGGCTCTCAAGCTCGATGCAAAAGAGTAGGCAAATTTAACCGTTAACATTTATATTTTTAATAAATATATAAATTTTCGTAAGTAACTAATGGGGTTCTGCCCAGATCTAGACAAAACTAATTGGGGTGAGCTCCGATCTGCCTGAACCGTCTTGAATCGCCATGAACACCTGCAATAACTCAAAACTGGAGGAATTTCCGGCGTAGAGCTTTATATGCTTACGTGAGTAACAAGAAGGGAGAAGATGAGCTGCAGAGAGAAGCAGCAGCAGCATATGAAAATGTGTAGGGAATATAAAAGTTAGGTTTGGTGTTACTTCAGTCCCTTTTTTATAGAGGAAAATACCTGCTTGAAATACTTAAAATGCCCATGGTCGACCGGCTTGTCCATCTGGTTTACCTATATCCTAATCACTTCTTAACCAAGTCTGAGTCAGCTTAAGATTCCATCTTATCCCATAGAGATTCATCCTTATCTACTAAATACGTTGAATATCCAGAGTATCATTGTACACCTCGAGCCTCGAAGTATAAAGAATCGACCTCGAATAGAAATAGGTCGATTTGGAGTCGACATGTGGATTAAATAGGTTAGGAGACTCTACTTCTCGCCTTTGAATCGTTCTCGTCCTCTTAATGAAGTAAGTCGATCTTTGATTTGAACAGCTAAGAAAGTCGATTTGTGGATGTCGACTTCCTCTGTCGTAGTGACACAAAAAGTTGACTTGCGGATGTCGACTTCTTTTGTCCTTGTGACACAGAGGGTCGACTTGAGGATGTCGACTTCCTTTGTCATGGTGACCTAGGCAGTCGACCTCGACCTGCAAGGGATGTTGAGGTCGACTTCAAGAGGTTCCTCCTGCTGATGGAAGTTGTTGATCTATTCGTCCTTCACTACTGTCGAGTCTCAAGACGAGGTCCTGTAATAATTACTTCTTCGACCCCACTCGACTCGTGTAATTAGTCTTTGTACCCGGTCGAGCAACTATAATCGATCTACTTAAGTATGGTTATATCAGCAACATACTTTAAAATACAATATAAATAAAATTATGTCATGTCACTTTATAGCATATAGGTATATGGTTTTATTCAAAAAGTATCATTTGGCCGACTCATAAAAATTATTGTAGAACAACAAATATGGATTATGGAGCTGCTATCTATCACACATCAGAATTGGAGCCATTTGCAAATTAAATTTTATAATACTAGAATTGGAGCATATATAATATTTCAGATTTAAGCAATGTGTTGTCAGCACTCTATCTAAATGCCAAACAAATATGGCTACATCTTATTGAATGTGGACAAATTTACCTTCTTTAATTGGGTGCAACTGCCTTTTCCATTCTTTTTCTTCACTCTTCTCAGACCATGGCCCTTTTTTTTTTTTTTTTTTTTTTTT